GGGCCCCCTTCTGCCCTAGTGGGGAAGGGGCTGCGCTGTACCCAGGGCCCTCCCCTGCCGTGGTGGGGTGCTGGGCTTGGGCCCTGTCCCCATCCTCAGGCTCCAGTCTGTCCTGGGGGGGAAGCGGTGGGTGCTGGGCTTGGGCCCTGTCCCCATCCTCAGGCTCCAGTCTGTCCTGGGGGGGAAGCGGTGGGTGCTGGGCTTGGGCCCTGTCCCACTTCCAGGGTGCCATCCTGCCTGGTGAGGGAAAGGAGTGGGTGTGGGGGCTTGTGTCTCATCCACTTTACAAAGCTGCATCTTGTCCAGGTGAGGGAAAGGAGGGGGTGCTGAGCTTGAGCATCATCCCCCTCCCTAAGCTCCCTCCTGCCCTCTCAGGGGGAGTGGTCGGGTGCTGGGCTTGGGCCTAACCTCCTTCCCAAGGCCTCAGCCTGCCCTGGAGTGCCTGCTGTGGTCTTTCCTTCCTCCTTCAAGACCTCATCCTGGCTTGGGGAAGGGGTGGCTGCTGGAGCTGTACTATTACCTCAGGGAGGGCCAGACTTGGGTGGCAAAACCCTGGGGGCCAGCTGTGATCTTGTGGTTTAGGTGTGCTGTGGGAAGGATGTCTGTACACCCCCCCGGGGAATGAGCTGAGGCTGGGGCCCTGCTCTGTGCTCTTCAGGTGGGTGGGTGGGGTGGCACCTGGAGCTGCTCCCTGCCCCATGGCAGGGGCAGGGGACCCTCCCTCCAGCAGCACAGCTGGCTGCCAGCCCCTGTCACGGCTGGCCCATGAAGGGTGCTGTGCCCTGGAGCAGTGCGGTGCTGGGAAGGGCAGGCTGGCCAGCATATGCAGCTCTACTGAAGGATAATAGGTTTTTTTTTTTCTATGGTGCTGTTGGCCCTCGGCAGTGTGGGCCTGCACTGAGATGCTCCTTGCCTGAACAATGAGGAAGGAAGATGCTTTTTGCGGGTCACTCTGGTTATGTAATGACGAATGCCCGCTGAACTCAGCGTGCAGTGGAGGTGTGTGAAGGCCTGATGTGCGTGAGGGCTTGCTTGCCTTCATTCCCTAAAGAGGCTTTCCTGGAAGAATGACCCACAAGTGAATTTCTACCACTTTCCTCTTCCTGTGGGCTGGCTCCCCAGAAGACTTTTCCAAGGGATTGACAGGTCACTGGATAGGGAATCCAAATCTACAGGCTGTTCTGAGCCGTGGCTTGTCCTGACGGGGTTTCTGGGCCCCAGGCTAACACCCAGTGGCTTAAACCACAGCACAGAGGGGGACAAACTGCCTGGAAGTGGCTTTTCCAGGCTGTGGTAGGCACATGTGCTCTCTGTTGGCATTTGGACTCGGTTCCTGTCATTCCTCCTGATGCTATTGGTGTATGTTAATAGCAGTGTGCTATTAAACACTGTATCTAAAATGTATAAATTAAGGTTGCAATAGGAGTCTTGCAGAGGCAATTGGAGGCAGAGTGAAGAATTGAAGTATTGTAATCACAGGGCTGCAATTATGTAACTGGATTCTCTTTCTTTCTGGATAGCAGGCTTCTTTAATTGCTGTAACAAAGCTACTCCTTCAGTTTTCTGGGGCTGTTCCAGGAAGCGATCATTGCAGCAGATTTTCTTCACTCCTCAGTAGAGCTAAAAATGTGTAGTTTCACTATTTCAAAACATGCTTGGTAGTATCACTCAAGACTTACAGCACTGTAAAAGGATTTAGGAAACTTAATGGTGCTCTGCAGGCGTAATTGGAGGCACTCCTTGCTATTAAGAAGCTTATTCCCACAAAGTTTTAATATGCTGTGGTAAGAGCTGCTGCCAAGGTGAGCAGCTATGGTCCTGGTCAGTGCGGACCATCGCTTGAGCGGTCCCCCTGAGCGGGCCTCCTGTGTGGCCTGGGGACAAGGGCTCTGTCTGGATGGGTGCTGGAGTGTGCCAGGCTGCAGGGCTCTTCCCTGGGCATGTGTCATGGCCTTACCTTGAAGAAAGGCTGCTGGGATTGCCAAATCCCTCTTTTTCTAGGATAATATGAACTGCACTGGAAACTTCCTAGTGCTGAATGCTGCCCTGGGAAGGCCACAGCAGATCTACATGTAAATGGCTTCAGTGATGGGTACAAAGCACCTAAACTAATCTATAGAGCACAGGGGGCTAAATGCTCAGCACCAGTGTACCACTTCCCAGTTTCTTAAAGGTCATGGGCAGCACTAGCTTGCTGCTTTCTAACATCTGTGTGGTGGTTCACAGGCAGGGGGAAGGAAAGGAGGCTGCTCTGCCAGGCTCTGGCTGTGCTAGCTCTGTGGTGGGGTGTGTTCCTAGGCTGCAGCGTGGCGTTAACCTGTTTCTGGCTTGTCAGACTGGCTTTGTCCCATGGGAACATCTGAAGTCTGGGTTTCAGTGACAAAGCAGCAGTGAGCTGAGGGAATGATGGGCTGAATGAGGAACAACACTCCTTCCAGGCTCAAGTAGCAGCAGTGACTATAGCTCCTGGCATGGGGTGGAATAAAAAGCCCTGCTGCTGTTCACATGCTTCCTGAGCCTCCCTGCTGGAGATGAGCTGTCTGGAGCCTTGCTGGCAGGGCTCTGACCAAATGATGCTCCAAACCCCTGGTGCACCTGGGAGGCAAACTTGGCTGTAGCCTATTGATGTATGGGAGGGCTGTGGCTCTCTGCAGATCCTGTCTCCTGCACACAGCTTTTTCTGTGTGTTTAATGCAGGTGGTGATGTTGGACTATCTCTGATCTAACCTCCAGACAGTGCCAGTGCTACAGTGCTCCAGCTATAGGGGCACCTTAGCCTGGGACTGCTGTGGGCTACCCTGAGAAACTCACCTGGCCGTAACATTTGGCTTGTGACGCAGCCTGCCGTAGAAAGGACAACCTCTGATGCACAGGAAGCTTCTTTGTTCTTGGGAAGGGATTAAAGGAATCTATGTTCTGCCTTAGGTTCACGATGTCTGACAGAAAGGCTGTAATCAAGAATGCGGACATGTCCGAGGACATGCAGCAGGACGCCGTGGACTGTGCTACACAGGCGATGGAGAAGTACAACATAGAAAAGGACATTGCAGCATATATAAAGAAGGTAACTGTGGGATGAGGGGGCTGCTCTGGCTGAGACTTCACAAAGCTCTTACGTGTGCCTGTTGTGAGCCTGAGTGCCTGAGACTTCATACTTGCATGTTTGGAGGGAGAAGATGCTTTCTTGGCTGCTTTACTGCAGTTCCCAAGAGGATGGAGTGACTCCTCCAAGGTCGGAGGAGGGCTGTAGCAGAGCAGGGCCTGCTCAGTTGCTCTGGCAGGCTCTGAGCAAGCAGTGTGAGCGCTGCCTCTCTGGATTTGCCAGCCTAGAAAGAGCCAGCTGCAGTCTCTGTTCAGGGCTTGTTCCACAGATGCTGCTGCTTGACTTGCAGTACCAGTGCCGGGTGGGATTATTGTTTCACTCCACGTGGGCTGCTGTGTGTGCAGTTCTGTCTGCCATGCTGCTGGCTCTGGTGGGGTGGTGTGGAGGAGGATGGGGCCTCAGCCTGGCTGGCGGAGTTCTAAAAGGTGCTGCTTTAAAAACAGTGCAAACAGCTGTCCTGGCTTGCAGAGAGGTGTCTCCCCACTTGCAGGAGCCTGTTAAGTCTCATGCTTGATGGCATCTGAGGAGCTGTCGGTTCCCTCTGTAGCCACTTCTCTGAGTGTCTGGGCAAAGTGCTTTTGGAGGAGGAGAGGGTAACTGCATAGGCAATACTGCCCTGCCACCCGGGATAGCTTTTGGGCCTTGCTTGTAATCTAAGCTTGAATGTAAAGGATTCAAAGGTGTCTCCTACCCTCTCAGATCACTTTGATCAGAGGCAAGACTTATCTCAAAGTGCTTGGGGCAATGCAGCCTGTAAGGTGAGTGCAACAGAAGGCGTCCAAAAAGAAGTTGGCCTTTATTTCCTGAGAGTGGGTTGAGAGGAGAGAAGCAATTTGATGCACCTTCATGCCCTGGCAAGAAAGCCTTTTCCTACTTCAAAGATTATCTGTAAAGAGCTCAAGCTGCCTTGGTGCTGTCTGAGGACTAACACTTACTTTAATCTTGAATGTTGATTTTGTTCTTCTGACTCTGTCTCAGGGGAGGGAAGAGGGTGTACTTGGGACTTGTGTATTAATTAGAGGGAGGAAAATGGTCTTTAACCTGGTCTTACCTGCTAAGTGGAAGACTGATTGTTCAGCTAGCATTCAGCTCTGCTCAGCTTGGACCTCTTAGGTCTTTGTGTGCTGTCTGGCCTGTGAAATTTGCCTGCTCATTATCAATGCAGATTTTCTCCCCTTTATGTGAAGAAGTCTCAAACAGCAGAAGCCAGACTTCTCCTTCCTTTTTTTAGGTGACCTTTAAGCTCAAATGCCTTGCTGGGGCAGACATGCCAAAATCTTTTTTTATTTTTTTGTAAGTGGGCTTGGAATGGGAGAGGAGAAATATTCCCCTGAGCTAGTAGCCTCCACGCAGGGCTTGAATAGTACTGTACCAGGGAGAGCTCTTGGGTCTCTTTTTTCTGCTCAGGGCTGATGGGTGCTCTGAGTCTCCGGAGATTATTTGCTTGTGTTGGGTCCTTCAGACAATCCAGCTTGGGGGTCTGGTTGTGTCAGTCACTACCTCGCTTCATATGACTTGCAGTGGGGAATCCAACAATGCTGCAGGTGGGAGGAGAGGCGATGGTGTGAGCACAGAAGGAGCTAAGAATTTGTGTGTAGAACTATTTTCATGTGGGCTTTCTTGGCCTTAATGCCTCTCTTCTTTTTCTTCAGGAATTTGACAAGAAATACAACCCAACCTGGCACTGCATTGTTGGCAGAAACTTTGGCAGCTATGTAACACACGAAACAAAGCATTTCATCTATTTTTACTTGGGTCAGGTTGCAATTCTTCTCTTCAAGTCTGGATAGGTAGTAGGAGCAAGTGAAATTTGGACTGTAATGCACTGATGGCTGAAGCCACGACTCCCTTTAACATGGCTATGCCGCTGCATGGACTGTATACTATATTTAATGTGTATATGTTGCAGTAAAAATCTACTTCTGTTTAGTTGCCTGGGAAGAAGGCGGCATTTTTTGTTACTGCTTTTTTTTGGTTGTATTGCACTAGGAAACCTGTAAATGCTTAAACAATGGCCTTTACGTGGGAAGAAATAAAACTATTCCACAACAGCTCCCTCGGTAGTAACTCCTTCTTTGAGGCTGGGAAGAGTTCTTTGGGCAGGCCAAAAGACCCTGACTTCCTTACTGAGTTTTATTAGACTGTTAATCTTGTAACGAGGAGCAAAGCCAGTGTGAGCCTCTGTACCCACCCCGCAGACTGTTGAGAGCTGGCTCTCCCAGTAGCCTCAGTGCAGGTACTTAGACCTTCCCTGAAAGCTGGTGGGGTGGCTCTTGATTCCATGGCTTTCACACACAAGTTGAACTCCACCTTGGACTGTGATAAACAGACTTGCAGCTGGCACCCTCGGTGTTCTCTTTTAGTGCCCATCGTGTGTTTTTTGGCTCCGCTGATACATTAACCTAGACTTGCAAGTAACTCAGCCTGGTCTAGAAGACTTCAACAAACATCCCTCTGAGCTGCTGCTTGCTGCAGAAAGCAGCATCCTGTGGCTGAAGTCTTTAGACCTTGATGCTGAGATCTAAAGCCACGTGGCCAGTCCCTGAAATGGAGTAGGATATCAAATTGGTGACTGCTGACAGCAGCTCTATTTGGCATGTTCTTAGCCAGTTGTCTCAACACTGCCTTAACTTGATGCTCTCCTTAAAGCAAGCTAGTCATGTGGAAGACTTGTAAGTGGCCACTGTCTCCTTTTTTTTGTTTTCTGTAGCTGATAAGCTATTTCTGGAGGACTGTCCTCCATGTTCTGATATCTGCTTTTGTTCTTAAAGCACAGTACCAAGAAGTTAAATTTACATGTGATGTTTGTGTGAAGGAAATCCATGTGACATCTGCTTTGAAGGCAGACAAATGTCTTGGTCTCCAATTTGTCTTAGTATGTGCTGACTCTTGGATTACACTGCAGGAAGTTCTTTTTATCTGGGTGTGGAGAAATGCTGTGTGATGGCAAGTAAATACCTGGTGCTTGCCATAAGGTCTATTTGTTGGTTTGCTAACTAATGCATAGACAATATCACTGGGGCTGATGAGCTTAACTGGTGTCTCTGAGATGAATTTGGTGTTGGTGATAAATCACTGCTGGGGGGAAAGGGCCGAGTGAAGGGAGCTCTTCATTGGGAAATGACTTAATGACCCAGGTTGACTACTTCCTGAAGTAAAAGTCCTTCTTGTCTCTGTGCAAAATCCAAAGTATGCCTAATTTTGTAATATTGATAGAACAATATTGTAATTAGAAAGAATGTAGCTGTCATAACTTCATGTTGATGGAAATGTCTGCACTGGGGTAATGTGCCTTGGACTGTCTGGGGCACTTTTGTGGTCTTGTCTGTTCAGAACTCCGCTCTGGATCTGAAAGGAGAATGTTTTGGGTTTGTGTTTTTCCAAGCATGAGTCTAATGTGAACCTGTTCACGGTCTCTTGTGGAGCAAGATCTGTTCCCTTCATAACTGCAATGGCTCAAATACCATTTATTTTTTTCAAACATTAAAGGTGAATTGACACATTTAAACAGTCTCTCTAGTTTGTTTTTCATTGCCAGCTGTCCCAAGCAAAAACTGCAGTTGCCCAGAGAGGGTGAGCAGTGAGTTCTCTGCCCTGGAAGATGCTGATGACCCAAAGGAGAGGCAGAAACTACCTGAGGAGCTGATGTGGCCCATCTGTGCTGGCTCAAACACAGCACCAGAAGGAGGGATGGAGGGGAGCGTGTGCTGCCACAGCCCTGATGGGATGCTCTTGTGCCAAGTAACCTAGAGCTGCAGGCACTGGGGCTAACCTCTTCGGGACTTGCCAAGCGGGGGTGGCATAGCAGCTGGGGTCCTGGCTCCTGTGCACACTCAGAGGTTTATCTCCCTGCTTTGCAGGAAGGGAGGTTTTCCCTTCAGGCTTCCTCCCTGTGCTCGATAGAAAGGTGAGATCTGGAACTCGTGCCACTTGCCTGAAGCTGGTGTGTTTAATGCCTCTCGCAGTGCAGGGGCTGTGGGCTTGCCCTTAAACAACCCCCCTCAGCTCTATCTTGTTCCTGATGCAACCTAATTTTGGGTTTGTGGCCTCCTTGGTATTTTGGAAAAGCTGTGGGCTCTTACCAACTACAGCAGCCTAACAGCTACTGTGGGACAGTAATACCAGTGTGAGAAACGAGGGGAAGCTGAGCTGCGGAGAAACATGACTCACGCTAAGTAGCTATAAAATGAGCTAATGGAGAACTCCCAACAAGCAGCAGTAGGGCTGTTACACACGGGTGATGTGCTGTAACCTCCACCTGGCAGTGTCAAAAAGCAGAGGAGCTGCTACTTTGGGGGCTGCTGCTCCATTGGCAGTCCCAGCAAGCCTTTTAGCTGGAAGTGTAGTTGCGGAGCTTAAGCTCCAGCTGTGCTGAGGCTCTGCACTCCTGGCCTGGCTAGGTCTGGGTTAACACTGTGACTCCGAGAAAGCATCTGCAGCCCTGTGGGGCTGGGGTAGCTAAGCCCCCTTGGTCCCCAGGGCTCTCAGTTAAAGCAAGGGACAGAGGAATAGACTCCTGCATGCCAGCTGCAGCACAGGAGGCTGCCAACCCAAACCTGAGCTGAAAAACTCCTCCAGGGTGGGTCCTGTCTGTGGGAAAGCACCCCTTTGGGTTCTGTGTGGTTGCATCCAGTGGTGCTGGTGTAAGTCAGAGCCTGGTGAGGTGTGGAGGCCCTGCCAGGCCTGGAGGGGTGGTGTGCCCTGGAAATGATGCAGTAGAAAGTGGGTTTGATGCTTCCTTGGATGTGTCATGGCAGCAGAAGTCCTGCTTCAGGTGAAGGAAAAGAAGCTCTAGCTGACACCTTTATCAATGAGGCAGTGAAGCGGGGACCTGCTCCCCTCCCTGTAACGCCTGGGATGGACATCGCACTGTGCATCCTCCACCTTTCTCCCTTTGCATGGCACTGGAGCCCTGGAAGACACAGACTGCCTGAAGTTAATCAACGTTTCCCTCTGCATGGTCAAGAGCAGGCTGAGGTTTGAACATGGAGCTGCCTGTCCCTGCTGCCTTCCCAGCAGCTGTCTGACACAGCTTTTGGCTGTGACTTTTTCCATTGCTGGGCTCCGCTTTGTCTCCAGTTTCCACCAGGCACAGGTGTCCTGCGTGATGCCTCTGAGTGTTAACTGCTTCCATGCCGGAGAGACTAAGAATGTCCCCAGGGCAGCTGCTCGGTTTCAACGGGAACATGAAGCTATTTGGAAACATCTGGATCTGGGGCATGGAGTGGAAGGTATGTATCTGGGGGAAACATCTGGAGAAACAAACTGCTTCCAGATGTATTTGGGAAAAAATGCTATTTAAATGTAAACTCTGTATATTACTGTCCTGCCTTTCAAACATTCAAAAAACGCCTGCAGGGGAGTTGAGGTGCTGGTTGCTGCTTGTGGGTGGACATCTGGGTGCAGGAGAGTGTCTGCAGGCGTGCGTGTGCATTCGCTGCGGGTAACAGTGCGGTTCGTGGTTGGGGAGAGTGTCACATTATTTTCTCTTGTACAAGCCAAGTTACTCAATTCCTCATGTCGAGTATTTCTTCCAGATGTGGCCTTACAAAGGCAAAGCTTTGCAGCCCTGAAGAGCAGACAGGCTGGTTTTTGGTAGCTATGCTCCATGGGTGCAACTGCTAGGCATGATCTAGGATTCATTTTGGGGGGGGAGTGTGGTGTAAAGCCCCAGGAGAAGTTGCGTGACTGTAAGCAGTGGGAGCCAGCCTTGCTCCCTGCCTCCTGGCACAATGTTCTCTCCCCTTCTCTGTGACCCCCTGGGACTCCAGGAAGGGACACAGTGATGGTGACATCCTCCCCACCCTGGGCGTCCTGCACAGGGTCCAGGTATCCCAGCCTGCTCTGTGGGAACACGCAGGCTGCAGGTGGGTGCTCTCTGGCACTGCCATCACAGTGTTAATCTGCCCCAAGCGTGGGGAAGCAGAGCCTGTCGCTGGTAAACCCGGTACCCAACAGACACATTCCTTCTCACAGTGCTTTTGCAGAAGATTTGAGATGAAGAGAGAAAATGTGGGAAGGAATCACTTTTATGTTGCTTTCAGCCTCTGACAGAGGCCAGTGCCATGCAGTGAAGGAAGCAGGGCTGTGCCATCCCTGCCCACCCGAGGTTTCCCTGCTGCTTTGTTCTATTTATTGAGCCACGGTTCTGACACCCTTTTCCAGACTGTGACTCATAGCAGCAATGTCTGTGCATAAGCCATGCGTCTCAGAGCACTTTATAGATACAGGAGCTGCAGGAGCTTTGCAGGAGCCAACTGTGTTTATTAAAAGACGATCAGATGTTTTCCCCCTTAAGGCAGTGTCTAGCTGAGGCTGAGTAATAACTCATTACCAACGAGACAAAAAGCTGCTGATCATCAGGTCAGTGCCTTCACCAGCCCTTCTGTTGGTGACAGCAGATGCCACCTCCTCCCATTCAGACCCTGCTCTGGTCCCTGTCCCTTCCCCTGCCACCAGCCTGGGCAGGGGCAGCCCCAGTGGGGCAACCCCCAGCTCTGCTCAGCTGCTCTGCAGGATTTGGCCCTGGGTGAAGCTTGAGGAATGGTTTTATCTGGCCCTGGTGTAGCTTGTTTGCTCCTGTCCTAGTGCTGGGGGCTCGGAGCAAATGTGCCAGAGCTTGCTGTGTCCTGGTGGAAAAATCAATGGGGGGCCAGTGCCGTGTGCCACAGAGGCATCCCGGGAACGCTGCTGGGGCTGTGGGCGAGGTGGGGTGCCACGTTCTTCCATGTCCCCATGTGTCCCTTGCTGCCCAGCTCTCGTCCCCTTGCAGGACTGGGGCCGGGACCCTCGCAGGCTTGGTCAGAGGCTTTCCCCAGACGCCATCCTCCGGCGTGGCCGCTGCAGCCGTCCCCTGCCAGATGCCATGGCATCTCTCCATGTCCTTTGTTCCCTCCCTTGCTTATGCGTCTCCATTGATTTATGGCTGTTGCAGAGCAGCCTGACCGCGGCTCAGCCGCTTGCCCAGACCTCGGCCGGGCTGTGTACCCTTGGTCCTGGCCGGGAGGGTTTGGGGGAGAGATCTAGGGCCCCCCTGCATTTAAACATGTGCACGGCCTTTTCTTTCAGCTCCTTGCAGCCCGGGTGTGGATGAAGTGTTTTCAGGGGGAGGAGATTGCCGGGAGCCTGCTCTCCCCATGCATTGGTTGCAGCCCATCAAAGCATCCGAGGAATTCAGCGCGGTGGTCCCTGTGCGGGGTGAGTGCAGTGAAAGCCGCCCTTTGTTTCCCAGCTGCCACGTCCCACACAAGCACACAAGAACGGGCTGGAATCTGCAGAGCTGGATGCGTGCTCCCACCAGCACATCGCCCTTAGTGGCCCCTGTGCGGGTGCCACACTGCTGCAGGGCCGTTGGGAAAGGGTTTTCCCGTGTCTTACCCCAACCTGGGGTGATCAGGTGCTGCTGGGGCACGATGGAAGGATTTCCCCCGGGGTTTGAGCCCGGCTTTACACACAGTGTGACCCGAGCTTTAGCCCTGCGCTGCTTAAGCTGAGTCAGAGGAACGGAAATCCCTTCTTACACAGACATTTTTCCACAAAGTGTTCGATTACAGGTTTGGGGTTTAATCTCACGCCCATCTCACCCAGTTGCCTGCTGCTTGCCGGGGTGGCTCCGGCAGGAAAGGACGGAGAGGGCTGACACCCAGCCAGGACGTGCCTCCGCCGCAGCCTGCACACAGGCGGCTGGCACCCAGCCCAGAACATGGCTCTGGAAAAAAAATAAATGCCTTTTTTGTTTTTTGAGGAAAGCCTAGAACGCTTCCACAAGGACAAAACCTCTTCTTTCATCCGGTTTTAAAAGACCCTCTTTTCTCGAAGGGTTGGAAAGGACCTGGCCCAAAGCAGCTGCTCCTCCGTAGCCCCCGGGTCAGCTTGGACAGGGTAAACCTGGACCCACGGTGCAGCGGCTCTGTCTGTAACTGCAGCTTGCAGGGGAACTGGGGGATGACACCCTTGTGCCCCCTCCAGCAGGGTCCCCACCCATGGGTGCTGGCGGTCCTGCTGCAGGGGGTCCCTGGACCTTTTCTGTGTTGTAATTAATTAGCAGGAGAAAAGCAGAGGGTGACTCAGCAAGCATGAGTGCCAGGCCAGGGCTTTGACACTGCCACTGTCCTCCAGCAAGTGACACGTGGAATTACAGCAGAGCCCTGTCCGGCTAAAGATACCCTGTTACTTAAATATTTTATAGAAAATCATTAAGCAATTAAATCTGGCAGATTTTACATCATAGAAAAAGCGGCTTGAAGTCTGGGCAGTAAACAGGGCAACGCTTCCTGCTCTTTTGGGATGTCTTCTCAGAGTCTTAACTCCCATCCTTGCTTCAGAATAACTATAATTATCTCTTAATTGCCATTATTGTTTAACATTTTTAGCATTTGCAAGGGCAAACTGTTACAGTTCTCCGTGCAGATACAATCAGTAACCAGGGTTCACAATGAAAGCAATTAAAATCCCGTGATTGTTACACGCTGCCTGTCTATACAACAGCTTCAATCTGCATAACTTGCC